TTTGAATTTCAGCAATTTGTTCTGCTCTCCATTTCCTGCTAGGAGAACAACAGGGAGGACCAACTGACCCAAAAAGTAAATCCCATTTCCTCATTTCCTGGGATGTAACTGTGAACTCCTCTCCATCTTCTTGCAGTGTTGCAAAGATGAGTGTTATCCTACAACACAGGGCATGCAGATCACACAGCCCCACCTCATTAACACAGACTCCCTGTATTTCGTATGCAGACTGCAGTTTCATTCTTTTGATACATCCTGTCTGGGTTTTTTTTTTCCCTAATGATAATTTCAACAGCTTGGTCTCTGTTTTCATCCTTAATTGCAACTTCTCATTTGCACAGTGACTTGTACTCAGAACCCACTTCGCTATGGCCTTTATTTTCCTTTATTGTCACTTACTTAAAATGAATTGATAAGCCAAGAATTTTATTTCCACTCTTGAAAGAATATTAAAAGGGACCATCTCTACACCACCATTTTTAGCATTGCATCTCTAAAACAGCATAATGAAAACAGCCTGCACCAGCAAGGAAAACTCAACAATGCCACTTCTCAAAGGACACAAATAAAGTCCAACTTGTAACAGGCACCAGCTCATGAGAGAAGAAACTCCACAACACTGCAGTACTTGCTTACCAAGTGAGAAACCGCCTAGCACTTCAATTTAAGAATGAGGACAGTTTAATTAATTGGCCCAGAAAGACCTCACAAACTCCTTGGTAAAAGACAAGCTGGCAAAAAACCTTCTCCTATGGAGTTCTCTTGCTAGATGGGCAGGTCTAACAGCATCAAATAAACAGCCAGGGAAAGAAACACACACAAAGTGAGATATAACACAAACAATACTCTGACCTCTCTGGAGTGTGCAGATACCAACCAACTTGTTCTTCTGCTGATACCACAAGTAAGAAGGCTCACCCAGCTCTCAAACTCTGAACAGTATGTGTTGTTTCTCTCACACAAAAATATAAACATTTTTTTTGACCATTCAGAATAAAGAACATAGCCACACATTTACAGCACCCAGTCAAAAAACTAAGAATTCAAAAGCCACACACAGAGAACAGAAATTACATATGTGTGACACTATCAGGTTATTTTTGCTAATACCCTTTAAAGTCTCAGCTACAACTCTACTTACAAAGCAGCCTCTAACAATTTTCCCCAAAAAGTCAAAAAAAAGCACAAAACCAGTTGTCATTTTTATAAACCAAAAGGTTCCATTTTCAATATTACTGTATCTATATGTTAAAGTAATAACAATGCTTATACATTAAGCTATCAGTCAGACAATAATTCACCAATTAATTATTATCATAGCAGATATCTTAGATTTGTCCTGCAGGTAGATGCTCAGTGTTTTGCAACATGAATGGGGGAAAAAAGGGAAAACCAAGAATATACTAAAACCAAAGCTATCTTTCAAATACTTAAACAAAAAGGACATGTTATTGCAAGTGCTACTGAAGAAAAGTGGCAATAAACTGTGGCCACAAGAACATGTGCACTTATCATGGCATTCCCTGAAAAAAGGGAACCATATGGAGGATCCAAACCAACCAGTATTATATGGGACAAAAGTACACACTGGAATTAGGGACCACAGTAGATCAGGATAAACACAGCAGGTACAGGTTGTCACAAGTCCACCAGTTATTTTCATTCCCTGACACAACTGGCCCCTATATCCACTGACAAGACTTAAAGGAGGAAGGAATTAAGCCCAACAAATCCCAAAAGTGAGTGTGACACAGATTTTTTTTTTTTTTTAAGTTCTTAACTAAAATTTCAGAGCTCCCTCCTCAGAAAACTGTAATCTACCACAGCTTGCTTTAAGTAGAGAAAGGATATAATGAAAACATGGCTCCATGTGACCAGTGCTGCATATCTAAAATGACTGTAGCTCTTCCATTAGCAAGAAATGCCCCATGACTTCTTGTTTATTATTGCAGCAAACGTTTGCTGCAATGTAAATGACATGGTGAACATACCACAGACAGAAAAACGACAGCTATTAACACCAAAAAAAACCAAACAGACTGGAAAAGCATTCTGACAAGGAGGAAACATTAAACCAGGTTTTTGTAGGACTTGCTAAATACAGAGGCTCATCATATTTCAGGCCATTTGTATTTAATTGTCCTTTCATCTGAAGAGTGATTGATATGAATGCACATCAGGAAGCAGATGAGTCAGATGTTCTGAAGAGGTCCAAATCAAGGACGCCCCACAAGACAAGAGCACTCCACATCTCACACAACTGACTCCCCCTACAGCCTGAAGTTTCTTTTCAATACCTCATCCTATTCCATGATGGTTATGCACCAAAGCATTGAGAAGAATATAAGAATTCAAAAAGTTTAGACACATGAAACTCTGGAAACCTGACTGTCCACACACTCTTTTTTAAAACTTTAAAGCCCCTGCCACAAAGAGTGCAAAAGACTGCATATTCTTATCTCTTCCCAAGTAGAGGTGGGCCCAAACCAGGACACCAGGAACATGTGGTGCCTCTTTACAGCTGAGGTGATTAGGGAAACCTGTCCCCATTTCTCATTTGGAGAAACTCTAGCTGAATAACTTTTCAATTCCTCAGTGCTCTGTGCAGTACTGTTGTGTCTGGGTGATGAGGGACACTTGCATGTGGAAGAGGAAGCTTCCTTTCCCTCCTAACCCTGCTCTCAGCCTTGGGGGAAGACATACTTAGATGAGGAGGTAAACATCTAAAACTCAGGCTTTTGTTCGGCCATTGTTTCTGTTGGAAGAAAAGAAGTCCTCATATCTTTCAGAATTCAGTGTTTCCAAATGAGTTTGTCAGAGGAAGTAAAATTCAGAGTGGAACAGGTCACTCACAACACTTAAAAACAGATGTTTTGGAGTGGTAGACAGACACAGGCATTATATTAATTTCAGCTCAAAGAAAGGAGAATCCCTGCTCTCTGGTGGAGAAGCAAGTAAGCCATGGGCATGGGGACAAGCAGCAGCACAGGAGGTTAAATCTACTGCACTGTCCTTGAGGTAAACTAGTATGCCTTTTATACTGTCCTCTAATCCTTAAGATTAATTTCTCCATTTTGGTTTTAACAATATTACCTGAAGTGCAGAGGCAATCAGTAGACCACAGCTTTGCCAAAAATTCAGTTGAATCATTAGAAGTGATTTCACAGCATGGCTTAGGTTGGAAGGGACCCTAGAGATCATCTAGTCCAACCTCCCTGCCATGGGCAGGGACATCTATTTGTGAAAACAGACAATGGATAAAAATCATTAGCTATAATCCTCAACTGTTAAACTGTCTCTCTGCATTAAACATGCAAATCAGAGTTGTTAATTCAAGGCAAAGAGAAAAGAGCTCATCTGCTCTGTATTCCTTTTAAGGCTGCCCTCAAATCAAACCTTGTCTCCATATGACAACAAATGGAAAAGGGGAAAGCTTGGGTGTAAACAAAAACTGACACTCTGCATAGACTACATACTGCAATTTACTGCACTTTTAAGTATAAATGCTAGCTCTGGCATTATTTTGAATCTCAAAGTGAAGCAATTTAGGCTCTATCTCCACTTTTCCCCTTCTCATCAACACAGCTCCTCCTAGGGTACAAATGATGCTAGCTGTTGATCATGCTCTTCTTAAATCATCTTCAGGCTGTTAGCTCTGCAAAGAATGATGCCTGCTCCAGAACACTGCCACTGCTAATCACTCAGGTCAGGTCTTTCATAGGTCTATAAGGAAGAACAGCACTGAGGGCAGCAGAATGAAGATGAGATTCGTTCTCTCTTTCATTTCAAGGAGTATATCTGAATGCATCCCATTCCTTCACCTTCATGGATCACTCATCCTTCCCCACACAAGTTTCCCTGTGCAAAAGCTGCAGCTGCCTTGGCTTTGCACTGCACAAGAAACAACAGAACTACATAGAGGCATTGCCCAAAGCACAGATGAAAACCAGTGTGAAACAGATTCGAGAATGGTGGCCTCATTAGATAAATAATGGCAAAAGCAGGGACACTCATCTCAAAGTAAGAAAGCTGCTTGAGACTCAGTGGAGTCAAGATGAACTAAAGAAATTATTCATTAGTGCAGCATCCTGGGCTCTGAAGCTCCACATCTGTGAATGTGCACAGAGAACAATGATGATGGGAAAGGGCAGAGGCTGACTCTTCTAACCAAAGCCTCCCCATGGGAGGCTACTGGAAGGCATATATGCAGTACATAAATTGAACATTAAGGTGACAACCTGTACTTACCCCTTGCATTTTGACTGCCAGCTGTCCCACAGGGAGATAGAAACCTTCTGACTGGTTATCTGCCCACGTGGGACCTGCACATTGCCTGCCAACAGGCCAATTGCCATATGTTGCCCCTCAGCCACTGAAATGCCAAGAAAACGGTGTGTGTGCAGTACAGGTTTCATGTTGTGTCAGACTACAGCAAACAACTTCAGTAAAGTTCTCTCTCTGACCATTTTTAGGATTTCATCTTAATAATTGCATTTTGTATCAAATTAGCTGTATGAAAAGAAAACCTGCAATACCACTCATGGATGTTATGAGGTAGAGAAATACTCATGATACGCTTAGATGATCTGAGCTAAAATCTGTGGTATTATTATTTATTGGCTAGAGAAAGGCCAGTGGTTAAACTGTTAGAGAGGGCTTCAGACAAAAGTAGCACTGTAGTCGGGCAGGGTCCCACCCCATCTGCTCAGCTGCACTGCAGGTGCAGCTACCTGCTGCACACAGTGACATCTGAGAGAACCTGGCTTCTGCTAATGGTAGCCCTGGTTCTACCAAGGGCAAAATCAGGTCCCAAATGCAAAAGCCTTTTAAGAAATTTGAAGTAATTGAATTGTATTAACTTCTGAGCTTACAGGAAGGGCAATGAGGTCTTGTGTTGCTGCATCTGCAAGGGTTCTATTAGGAAATTGTTCTGATTACTTTAATGCACACACACAAAAAAAACACCAACCTGGGGGAAAAAAAATGGTAATTTTCTTTACCTGAGATGCTCCATTTAGGCAAGGCACTGAAACAGGGATGTTACACAACAGCTCCAAGCATTGTTCAGATGCTGTGCACACCTCTTGCCCAGCAGGAACCACTGCATGTCGTCCAAGCTGCCCGTAGTCTGCTCTGCCCCAGGTGAATACCTTGCCAGTTTCTAAACACAAAACACATTTCAAGATTACTTATTCACTAGGTTCCTGGAACATCTGGATACCAATTCAAACCTAGAAAAATAGTTTAATGCATCTTATTTGAAGCTTCAAAAACATAGTAAAAACTTAGTTCTGGGAGCTGAAGGGAAAAAAACAAAACCAACCACACCACACCAATTGAACTAGCTGCAGACACACATGATGCACTTCCATGTAGTTACTGAAACTTAACTTGTTCTAGCAGGATAACGTCTGTTCGGTGGCTGGGGCTATAAATGAAACCACGTCAGTAAAGCTGCATAACCTGGACGTTCTGCGTATCAAGTACAGACCACTTCAGTTATACAAAGGACACATTTTTAGCTTTACAGAAGCACACACAAAGCAGCTTATTCTGAAACAGAAAAGATTCCTCTCTATTCCCAGTCTTGCCACAGAGACACCGATCGTATGTCCTGTATTTAACATGCAGTTTGTTTTCCTGCTAGGAGTTACCTTCTGTCACAGCTTCTGTCAGCAGAGGAGCAGCCCTCAGGACAGCACCTGGCTACTCACCACACCACCACAGCTGTCACCAGGCACTGTGTGCTGGTGACTGTCACCAGGGCTGATTTCACAGGAATCACGTTGGCCAAGGAAAGAGAACTTTAAATGCAATCTGCACTACATGGATCACCTTTCTCCCCACATATTATACCAGGTCCACTGCTGCAGGACTGACACCCAGAAGTCCATTCTCCAGTATGGATAAAATGCATACAGCAATGCTTTTTACCTTTAGTTCCCAGTATTTAAAACACAAAATAAATCATACTAAGTGACAGCTTTATTTTCTTAAAGAAGTAGCTACATCTGCAGGTAAGTGATGAAAAGCTGTTCCTTCTGGAATTCCTTGAGTTCAACTGAGGCTTGACAGCTTCGATTCCTGGAGTTATGTACACGCTTCAGCCAAGCCTCAAACTCTTCTGCAGAACTGAACTCAAGTCGTAAGCCAAATGATGTGAACTTAAGGAAAATACTTGAGGAATCAAGTCAAGCAAGTCAGCTTAAACACACCGTTGTCCCACTGTCAGGCAGTGCAGACATATCCCACGGAGGGGCTGGGAACAGCGGGTACCCGTCACTCCACCTACAGATGACAACTGAGGGTTTTCTTAACACAGACCTTTGGAAACCTGAGCACCTCCCTTTTCCTTTGGGTGCTGTTAAACTGTCTTGAAGGGGACACAGGTGGGCAGTGCTGGTTGGGGAAGTTGAAGCTGATAATGTATTGCACAAACAAACTGCAAATCTCTTAATTTTGTATATTTAAATACATGACAAGTATATGCATTTTCCTTGGAAATCTGCTAGCAGTGGTAGCTTTTACTCCAACCATTGCAAGCTTTTGAAATGCATTCTTTCAGTTCATTAAAAATGCTTCTCCTGAAATAACTGAGTGATAAAATTAGTCGTCCTCTCTCAAGGGCACAGACTTTCTTCCTTTGGAGCTCCCTAGCAGTTCAGGGAAAAATTGAAACCAGTCCTAAACGACTTTTGATATAAGTGAGGTCTTTCAATACAGTAGCTTCATTTTGTTAGGTTAAAGCATTAAAAGTTCTCTTAATGGACTTACCAGTATACTTTACAGAGATTAGCAAAACAGTTTGTAGCTTAAAACACATGCTTGTTCTGGAGGCAGTATATTTACTTTGCCATTTGTATAGATCTCTGCTAAAAACACCTGCAACTGCAAAAATGTTGCTGAAGACTCCTACATCAGTATGTTATATAGCAAATTTAAATGTAGACTAAGCTTCAGGTTTTACATTAGACCAAGTTGCTGCACCTATCCAGAAACCTATTATTGGACTGGAAAAGGACAGGTAGGCTGCTCTATCTTGTATGAACTGAAGGAATGGAAGCAGAGTTTCACAAAATTTAAAGCCAGAAAGAATTTCTGTAACATGTAGGTTCTGTAACATGTAGGTAGATCATTAATAAACCACAGGCTCTTGAGCCCTAGCCAGACACTGCTGTATTGATCCCAAGGACCATAGTTTAACTAAAGCATTTCAACTCTCAGAAGCCAAAAGCATCAAGGGCCACAGACAAAACCATCAGCAATCTGCAAGGCCTCTGGAAAGGCAAGCAGTGTGCATTTGATAATACAGACCCAGACAGTCTGCTGGACTGGACTGTACACAGGGACAGACTCTCAAGTCTGACTTGAGGGAAAAATAAAAACAAATCTTTCCCCAGGCAAATCTGGTGCTCTGTCTGGACCCAGAGATTAACAAGAAACATCCGTTGCTCATGTAACAAAAACATTCCTTTGCATCATCATATCAAGGCTCTCACAAGTGACCAGCAGAAACCAGGGAGCAGTGACACGATCAGCACCTCAATGACCAGCTGCTAGAGCAAGATCTGTGCAAAGCAGGCAATTCTCCTCCCCCAGCCAAGGGCCTGTGAGAGGCAGAGAAAGGTGCAGTGGTCTGCAGCTTCCCTGACTGCAAGATCAGGGCAAAACACCACAACCACCTACTCTGAAGTCAACCTCACCTGCATACTTAACCTGCCCCTATGAATTAAGGGCTAGCAAGTCCATCATCTGCAACAGGATTGTCTAACTGCAGCTGCCATCAGCTGCTTCTTGTGTGTTTATCAATGACTGGAGAAAGCCTCTCCCCACAATCTAGTATCTCTTCCACATGCCAGGGTCTGCAAAAGTTTAGTCTTTTCTTCTTCTGCTGTGGGTACTGGTCTCCTTAAGATTCACTCTGCAATTCTGTGATTGGATCAATTTTTCAGATCCTACATTGAAGTGTCAACAATAATACCAAATTGAAATGAAAGTAATAGAACTGGAAATAGTATAAACCCAGTGGTCTCTTTAGTCTTGCACAAAGGCTTTGAAGCATGTTCATCTCTATTATTACAAATTATTTCAGTAAATTCAGTGGAACTGAAGAATGCAAGTGTATACAAAGGATTAAAACCAAACAGCAATAATGCTTAGCTGCAACAAAACACCTTCCATCCATCCAATTTGCTTTCACTGGACAAGCAAGTACAGAATTACTTACACATGCAAAACCAAAAAAGAACCTCTAGAAGAACAAACTGTTCCTGTTTAGAAGCCAGAATAACTGCAATTAACTTTTTCCTTTTTACCACTATAAGGGAAACAGGTTTCAGGTGCTAGGCAAACATGGAGAACAACCATTAAAAAAAAATTAAAGCCAGATAAATAACTTTTGCTTTTAGGAAGAACTTCTTGAGTGCTCAGAGATTAGGCAAGTAACAAGTTCCTTCTTAGTGCTCATCAATTCGGTTCTCACTCCCAAGTGACAGAAATTCATACCCCAGACCTGCTCCTGTTTGGTGAGTGCTCCGCCTCCCATGCTCAGTCTCCTGCTAATGGTCACTCATTCCTATTTTTCAGCTGAATATATCTGCCTAGGAATCCTTTAAAAAAAAAATTTTAAAAAAATAAAAATCTGTCTTTTCTGTGGGAGAACCTAAAAGAAGCTGCTTTAGAAGCATCTTCTCTCTAAAATATTGATTATATTTTCAGCGAACAAACAAACAAAAAACTAAACCACAAATCCCCCCCATTAGTCTCAAGTGGAAATTTCAGGCTGAGGCAAACATCAATGCACGGAAAATTCCACCAAAAAGGTTAAAGTCTTGTCAAAGCCCTAAGCAAAATAAACCACTACGTTATGACAGAAGAATTAAGCAATTGTATCAAGAGGTATTGCTACTGTGCTGCTTATAATATAGATGGTATTTTAAAATGTTCTAAGAAAATTTGAGAAAAGACATTAGTCATACAGAGTAAGGAGGCTGCAGGATGAATTACTTAAGAATGAAGGGTGATGTAACAAGGAGTGTTGGTCTAATATTAGAATAGAACAGATTTTAATTAGAAGTCAAGAAAACATACAGAGTGATGAGTCAACTGGACAGAGAACATCAGCCATGGAAGTGGACGGGGCACCAGAAAATGAGGTATTTTGTACCAGGCTCTATACAGTAAGAACACACAAGAGGCAGGAAGTATTTCTACAACTTGTGTGAAAGAAAGAAGCATATAATGTTGGAAAGCTCTTTCAGTTCTTCTAACATCCTAACAATGCTTCCCAAGACTTGGATCTTCCCAGGTTCTGAGCATGGTGGCTCCAATTCCAAGAGGCACTTCAACTCCTCAGCTGCAAACATCCACATAGTCCCAGGTAACTTAATTGAAACTGCTCCTTATTTCAGCAGGCAAATGCTACATCAGATGAAGGTCAGAGGGTTCAATATCATTTGGAATTAAGGAGTAATAGATACAATTCATGCATCCTGTCTCATTCCAGTGTACAGACTGAATGAAATATACAGTAGAAGAGTTCAGAGACCTACAAAGACAGAGGTAAGATGTTCAGATGTTTAAAAGCTTCCCAACAGCCCCTCCAGTAAATAGTACAAACAGTATGCTACGTCATTTGAGGTTCTGCATGGCCATACAGACCTAGTTTCCTCCTGCTCTTTGGGCTGTAAGCACAGCAGTGTGCACCAGTACACACACAGCAGCAAATCACCTGAAACACGTGCTCATGGCCCTCACAGAATATGGATGATGGTATGTACATATCCCAGTGCTTGCAGCACTATACTCTCAATCCATGATCACAAAGGCTCCTCTGCACTTTCTTCACATCATCCTTCTGTCCTTATTCTATCAGAAAGCTTGGACAGTTGAGAATGGCCTCAAAACGACAAGTTCACAATGTCTGGAGTATTGCAAATCCAGAAACACTGCATAAAGCACTTCCAGTGGCTTCCTGCCCGACACCATAGCTCTTGCTGTGCTGCTGAGGCTGTAGAGCATGTCTTATTTTCCCTTTCAGCACTTGCTCAATCAATCTGCTCAGCTGCATAAGTATTTGGAGAGAACTGGCAATAAAAAACCCCTGCATTTTAGTTTTAAAATCAGGTTGGTTTCTGAATAAAACACAACAAATAGAAACAT